TCCATGATACTTGGTCTGTTGATCCCAGAGCTCGCCCTATGATGTACAAACTTGTCGCGAGGGTGGTCTGGTCCATCAAAGCTAACAGGTCAACGCTGGCACAGGCGAGAAAGATCTGTGGCTGTCAGTATGAAGTCGACAGAGTGAAATTATTCCAGAGAGATCGGTCCGTATTACCGTAACGATTGTCCGCTTGGGAACATAGTTCGTCTGTTCGTTGAACCGGTGTACCTTGGCGACGTCGCCGTCGCTATCAGACGAGGCAGACGCATCGGCAGATGGGCTTGCTGGCACATCTACCACTACGGCGGGTTCCTGTGCCTGGGCTGACGACTCTTTGCCCATTATTTCCGATTCGAGGTGGCAAGATGCTGCTGGTTTGATCAGTGGTCATCGACTCATGCATGGCCTCTTGGAGCGAGGTACGAGAATTTGAACTTGGAGACCAAGTCGGGCTTGCGAGAGGGACAAAGCAAGAATCGTCTCGAGCGTGGCCAGGAATGAGTCGGCCGGGTTTTGCAAGCAGCTTGAAAATCTTATCGATTACGACAAATAAACGACGGATACCAGACGTTTGCGAACCTGTATGACCAATAAATGTGAGGGAATAATGTCAGGGTCTTGGTCGAGATCCTCTCGGCCCTTGTTCATCAACGACAAGGTTTGAGGGCCATTGAGCACGTATGTCATGGTACGGTAATACTTACGTTGTATCAGAAGGGCAAGATCCGTCCATACAGCACGGAATTTGTGAACAATGCGCCCTACTGGCCCACGTCGCCAGTCTCCCTGATAATGGTCTAGTCCCCCTTCTTCGGCAGGTTTTGCCGTTAAGCAGTCAGCAAAAAAGCAACCATCCACGGGCCCGTATAGTTGTGGCCAGAACAAGCTTAACGAAATGGCAAGCCAAGCAAGTCCGATGAGTGGAGAAGCATAAAACTTGGCTCCAACCGCGAAAGCCTACTTAACTTGTCAGATTGTCCGAATGGCTTCGTGATGGTCGGTCACATCGTTTCCGCCCCTACTTTGTCCGTCTTTGCGGCCGTTGAAGCGCCCACGCGAGGTTGCCATGTCATGATATACAGCTCTAGTCCGTGGTTACACAAACCCCCAGGTGAACTTTTACTGCATTCCTCACGGCGATTTAGATTACCACCGTGGACCGGGGGATGATATGTGCGGCAACCTTGAGAGACTTTGAGCGTATTTGAGAAGCCAGCTTTCCTATTCCAGAAGGATGTGGTTGGCGATTCCTGGTCTAGAGCAAACAGGGAGGAGATCGGCGCCGTCTGTAAGGGTCAAAAGTCAAAGCCCATCTCCACCAGCGACCGCGATCTTGGCGATTGTAGGTGACCTGGGCAGGGAGGTGAAACTATCAGGGTGTGCTCTCGACTCCGAGGACAAGAAAATCAAAAAGCAAGAGAAAAAAAACGCATCGTCGAGCCACGCTGCAAAGATTGCCTGAAGGTTGTGTGTGCTACGGGACGGATGAACGAGGGACGTCTCGCATAAGCAGCACATCTTGCTTGGTGGTCTTATTCCTACCCTGATGGACAGACATGGGTGAGATTTTACTTTTCTTTTGGTTTCTTTGTTTCTAGCTCTATGCATTTCGCCCAGGACAACAAGGTACTTGTTAAGCACTGTCAAATTATATCACGATGATTGGTATTTCTTAAGTTATCCATCAGATAAGAAACCCCACACTTAATTAACCCCAGGCGTTGGCCCATCTCGGTCCCAGCAAGATATGTCACTGTCAGTCTAAACGCAATATAACAACAACAACACATTGCCGCCCCCTGGTTCTCTTGGCGGATGCAGCTGGCGACTGAAACCCAATGGCGCGCTGTCCTAGGCAAAGACATCCGAAGATCATGACAACACGAAACCGCCATTAGCGGACATGAGCTGTAGGACCGGCATGTAAGTCGTGGTGAGCAGATGATCAGCAACCTCGTATCATTGGACGTAGGTAAGCATTACAAGCCACACGGCGTTGCAGGAGCTAGAGGGGCTATTCAACAATAGAAGGGGATTGTGTAATGGCCGATGCGGGTTTTGCGCTGTTTTAGCTAGGTTTGCGCCCGCTCGTTCTGATGCAAGGTTCCCGGTGATAGTTGGTCGCAGGGATGTATCATGTCGACGACGACGGGATAAGTACCGTGGCTGCTCTTCCAAGCAGTTTGTTTTATTTGACGCCTTGACTTGGACAAAACAAAGGGTGGTAGTCCGAGCTGCAACGGTATATACATGCATGTATATATATTAAGCACAAACAAAACCTGAACCTGAAAGACCGGACGAAAATACCACAAAGAGACATGGACAAGTCAGAAGACAATCACGCGGCAGCCATGGGTAATGACAACTTCTTGAACGTCTACAAGGGGCCCGACTCGGTTCGGCAGTATTTCGATCCAGAGTCGTCGCCGCCAATGCCCCTGGTTGAGATACCGGACTGTCTCAACCCCTATCGTTCCGAGGGTATTCGCATCTATGCGAAGATGATGTCCATGCATCCCGCTAATAATGTCAAATCAATGCCAGGTATATGACGGCGGCCACAAACTATCCAGCGCATGTCATGTCTGTCTAACTCTTGGGTGTCTTGTAGCTCTCAATCTTCTTCAGAATAGCATCGTCCCGGACAAGACCAAAACTGTTGTCGAATACAGCTCCGGCTCAACAGTTCTTTCCATGTCCCTGATTGCTCGGGCATTCTACGGCCTGCCAGATGTCCGGGCTTTTCTTAGCAATAAGACTAGTCTTGCCAAGATTCGCCTGATGCAGCTATTCGGAATTAACATGTAGGACATGACTTGGCTCCTTCTTTTATACCTTGACAGACAACAGAGTACTCACATACACCCTAGCACGCTGTTTGGTGGTCCCTCACAACCCGAACCTCTTGATGAGCGTGGTGGTATTCGGGCTGCTCAGAGGTTGGCACAGGAGTCTGACTCTGCGACTATTAACCCTAATCAATATGAAAACGACAACGTAAGTGCAAGGTCACAATTCACTTTTTATACTATATGCTAATATCAAACCTGTCGTGTAGAACTGGAAGTCTCATGTCAAGTGGACGGGGCCTCAAATCTTGAGGCAGCTACCTGAAATTAACATCATCTGTGCAGGCATGGGCACTTCGGGTAAGCTCCCTCGTTTGTCACATGTAAATGCGACCTTGCTGACTCTGTGACTGAAGGTACCATGACTGGTCTTGGCACGTACTTTAAGGAAGCAAAGCCCAGCGTCTTCAGACTCGGGTGAGTGTGGTCTTGAAAGCATTCAACGTTCGATCGGAATCGCTAACACAAACGTTAAACAGAGTCTGCACTGCAGCCGGTGACCGAGTCCCAGGACCCCGGTCGTACGCCCTACTGGCACCTGTTGAGTTCCCTTGGAAAGCTGCTGTTGACCACATCGAGGAAGTTGGTTCGCACGACTCGTACTCTCTCTCTTTGGACATGATCAGAGAAGGGCTTGTTTGCGGACCCTCGTCCGGGTTCAACCTCAAAGGCCTCTTCCAGTTCATCGAGAAGCGCAAGGCAGAAGGCAATCTCTCCCAGTTGGCCGGGTCGGATGGCCAGATTCACTGTGCCTTTTTGTGCTGCGATTTGCCATACCAGTATGTAAACGAGTACTTTGACAAACTGGGCGAGTCGTTTTTCCCATGCATCAATAACGAGGTATGTGCCTAAAAAAGCAGCCGACTGTTGGTCATTTTCTGTAAATTCGTTGCTAATTCGAGATTAGGAACTCCTCGGCGTCGATGTCTACAGATATGACGAGGCCTGGGAACGAGACGCAGCCGACGCACTCGGTGCCTTCTTTGGTGTCAGCAAAACCGTGAGCGGCGACATCCTTTTGGAAAACAGTACTGCTCGACCGAAGTCTGAAACCACAATCATTGATCTTCGCCAGGCGGCAGACTTTGAAGAGTTCCACGTCCCTGGATCTACCAACGTGCCGTTCGTCCAGGCGGACCAGCCCAGTCCCTTCTCTGATCCCAGCATCCTCAAGGGGCTATGGACTAGACTGGAAGAAACCTTCAAAGTCCCCCACCAAGACCTCCAGTCCCTCCTCCACGGCAAGCGCGTCTTGCTCCTGTGCTACGACGGCGACAGCTCCCGCGTGGCAAATAGTGTGCTCCGGGCCAAGGGGTACGAGACGGACAACATCAGGGGAGGATTCAAGGTCCTCCAACAGCTGAGAGATGAAGCAAAGCGCTCCCTTGCCAACGCGGCGCGGCAGCAGGGCCAGATGTGGTTGAGACTAAGTAGCGAGACGGAGGGAATCACGCCGTCGCAGCCGAGCCAGATTTCGGTGTCTGTTCAACCATTGGGCTCCGCTTCCGGCTAAGCGCACTGCTCGAAAAAGAAAAGGAACTATCATTTAGGGAACATGAAAGAAGGCTTATTGATTGTTTACTGAGCAAAAGTTGGGAGAAATGATGAAAAGATGTCATGTGCTTTTTGTGGGATGGAAATGGTTCTCCACATACATAAGACGAAGGCTCAATGGTCTCACATAAGTTGGGACATGTCACTCAAAATCGCTCATGAGCATCATGAAGATTTAAAGACGGCTCAACACAAACTATCAGGGAAAATAGAGCTAGAGAGGTAGTTTAAAATCACACTCAGATTGACGGAAGAGCAGCGCTCAAAAATATCTCTCATCTCTCCACCTTGGCCATTCACTCTTTGCGCCTCACATTGATCTCAGTACAATCGTGTTAGCTACGAGTATTTCCTCGCCGAATGTCTGAGCAAACGGCCATGGCGAACAGCTTTCCACGATGACACTCGAGTCACAACCAACACCTGCCCTATCAATCCGCGCCCATGGCCGACCGCGGCCCATAATTCTCCCCATTCGGGCAAACCACTACGAATGACCTCACCCGCACTTTATCAATCTCCAACACAACCCCCTCCCTCTCCAACCTCCCCATTGTCCAGTCCGTGAACCAAGAAGAGAAAGAAAAAAAAATGGCAGTAGATTACTCCGTCTACCTCGTCACCGACTCCACGCCCGCCATCCTGGGGGATAAAGACCTCATCAGCGTAGTCGAGGCCTCGCTCCGAGGCGGCGTCACCGTCGTCCAGTATCGCGACAAGCACAGCGCCAGAGAGGACGTCGTCGCCGTCGCCAAGAAGCTGCACCAGCTGACCAAGGGCTATGGAGTGCCGCTCCTGATCAACGATCGCGTCGACGTCGCCGTCGAGATTGGCTGTGAGGGCGTGCACATTGGGCAGGATGATATGGGTGAGTATGCCTCTGCGATATACATTACATACATGCATGTAATGCAGCCCAAAAAAAAAGAGCAATTGGCTAATACTCCCGCTTACATATTAAACAAAAGAATTCCAACAAGCAAGGAAACTCCTGGGACCGAGTAAAATCATCGGCGTAACAGCGAGTTCCAAGGAAGAAGCCATAAGGGCGTGCCAGGCAGGCGCAGACTATCTCGGCCTTGGGACCGTCTACTCTACAGCCACGTATGGCTTTCTGCACACCCCCTCCCCCCTTGTCTTTACCTACCACAATTCTCAAATCCGCGAGCAGCAAAAAAGACACCAAATCCATCATTGGGCCGTCCGGTGTCGCGGACATCCTGGCCGCCCTCGACGCGGCAGGCCACTCGTCCACGCCCGCCGTCTGCATCGGCGGCGTCAACGCCTCCAACGCATCCGCCGTGCTCGCGGGCTCTGCCTCGCCGCGCAAGGCCCTCGATGGCATCGCCGTCGTGAGCGCCATTATCGCCGCCGACGACCCGGCCGCCGCGTCGAGAGACCTGCTGGGCAAAGTCATCACCGCCAAGATCCCCAACGTCGTTGCCGCCGTGGCGAGGAAAACGCCCCTGTCGCACAACATGACGAACCTGGCATGTCCTCCCACCCCCTCCCCCCTTTCTAAGCCTCGTGGGAGAGCAGAAACGGACCTAACCAATGCCACGTAGGTGGTGCAAAACTTTGCGGCAAACGTGGCCCTCTGCGTGGGCGCCAGTCCCATCATGTCCAACTACGCAGAAGAAGCCGCCGACTTGGCCAAGCTCGGCGGCGCGCTGGTCCTCAACATGGGCACCGTGACGCCAGAGGGCTTGAAGAACTACGCCCAGGCATTGGAAGCGTACAACGAGGCCGGCCGGCCCGTTGTCCTCGACCCGGTTGGGTACGCACCCCTCCTCCCCCCAGCCTCTCCGTGTGCACGTACAGAAACCTCGCGGCTTCTAACGCCTCACATGCCTCCAGCGCCGGAGCAACCTCTGTCCGCCGCGAGGCCGTGAAAACGCTCCTCGCATCGGGTACCTTCGCCGTCATAAAGGGCAACCAATCCGAGATCCAGACCGTGCACGGCGCCGGCGTGACCCAGCGCGGCGTCGACTCCTCCTCGTCGCTCACTGTTCCACAGCGCGCCCAGCTCGTCCGCTCGCTCGCCCGTCGACGGCGCTGCGTCGTCCTCCTCACTGGCCCGACGGACCTGATTAGCGACGGGAGGCGCACACTGCGCGTCGACAACGGCCACGGGTACCTGGGCATGATTACGGGCACGGGATGCACTCTCGGCACCACGGTCAGTGCCATGGCCGCCGCATATGAGGAAGACGCCCTGGTGGCGACTGTTGCGGGAACCGTCATGTTTGGCGTGGCCGCCGAGATGGCCGCCCAGAGAGAGGATGTCAGGGGGCCAGGGTCGTTTGTGCCTGCGTTTTTGGATGAGTTGTTTGGCATCAGAAAGGCGACGATGGAAGGGGACTCGAAATGGCTTGCTCTGGCCAAGGTCGCGGCTGTTGATGTCGCCGACGACGAATGAGCTCTGTCAATTCAATCCAAAACGGCATGGGGGCTGAACAAGGCGCCAGAAGAGTTTTATAGACAGTTCATATTAAAAATCGTAAAATAGTAATACTGTTCCACAATCTTACATTAGTCAGGGTAAAGTACAACTACATGTCCGCAGAAACGACTGTCCATTGCCTTCATATAAAAGCCGCTCATCCCAAATCGCTAATACGAAATTGCAACCTAAACCCCCGCAACAAAAAAAAAAAAGGGCCCAGAAAAAAATTAAAAGTCACAAGGATATCTTATACGCTATGCAGAGCCCCAGTCCCGTCAATGCCTTCATTCCATTTTGAACTCCACCCCACTGTCGCCGTTTTTCCAATCTCATGTTCATCATGGCCGTGTGGCAGGTCCTAATTTACCGTGGCGACAGTGGTGTTTGATGACGCGTGGTTGTACAACCAAAGCTCACACGTGAACTCTAGTGGACGCCTCCATTCTTTGCGCGGCAGCAGATGCAGTCTGCCTCACGAAGCCAAGTCAATCAGTCCCTGGCTGTCCTCCATACCCCAGGGTACCTCGTTCATGATGTCTCTCCATGCAACGGTTCCCATGTCGTCAACCATCTGAAGCGGCGACCCGCCGTTTATGTGCATGCTCACGAGCTCTTGCGCCGTTCTCATCAGTCGTACAAGGCGTTCCAGAGGGTCCTCGATTCCGCAGCGGTCTGGCGACAAAAGACCGCTTCTTCGCTTGGCAATAATCTCCACCAGATGGTCGATTTGCTTGCCGAAAATAATCACCAGATCTAGCTCCTTGGTGATGCTTGCCATATCCCACCCAGGCAATTGCAGGGTCAAAAGCTTGATGCCCGTAATGAGAGTGTAAGCCAAGTCGGAGGCAATGATACACAGGAAACGCGGCTTCTCGATCTCGGGCTCAGCGAATCGGACTTCGAAGAAGTCGCTGAGAGACTTGACGCAAGACCAAAGAAGTTGAAGGCGGTCAGAGACCTGCATATTGTCGGGGCTGCATCGCTGGTCGGAGATGGCGATGTCTTTGAGGAGAATTTCGGCGACGGAAATGTGGCAAAGGAGGGTTGCTAGAGATTCAGAAGTTAGTTGAACTGTGAAAGAAAATAAATAAATAAAAGGAACTGAAAACGTACGATTTTGTGCAAGGCGTGGAGGAAGAGAGGCTTTAAAGGTGTCCAACTGGTCCTGGAATGACTGCACCACCATGACAAGAGGTAAAGACATAGGAGCCATGCCATCAGCAGACATGGTGATTGAAATGGTCTGTGCAAGTTGTTGGATCTTGACCAGCTTAATGAGATACTCGTCAGAGGGGCACTCCATCGAGGTCTCGATGACCTTGCAGCAGCGGTCGAGTTGTGTAGTGCTCATGAGCACATCAGTTTTCTTATTGGTGGTGAAGATGCTGTAAAGTTGACCCACTGATTAGAATTTGGTGGCACATCAACATATATTCGGCATGAGAACAACTTACATGGTATTGAGGTAGTAAGCACCGGCGTACGCCCTGAGGTGATCTAAAGGACCATACTTGGCATCCTCACCCTGCGAGCCGTATGACATGGCAGTCAAGTTGACACACATGGACCTGGCCAAGAAAAGCAGGTTTGTAACCTGAGAACTCTTCAAAGCAAAATACCACCTAAAAACCGAGAAACAATCAAAATGTTAGTCACAGCTACAATGTTTGTGTACTATAATGATTCACGAGGTTGCAGCCAACTCACCATCCAATCAACAGCTCAACAGCTTGGAGCATATCGAGACTTCTCGTCCCGTCGACGATAGAAGCCTTGCCGATATCCGCCAGAAGCTCTTCCCCGAGCTTCACCTGTCTGGTGGCATCGAAAATGGTGGCGCTCACCATGACAGCCTTCCACAAGAATGGACGCTGCAGACGAAGGTCCGCCGACGACAGCTCTCGCGGGATGAGAACAAATGGGAAATATTCAGCAAACATCTCGCGATAGACCATGAGAAGCATCTCGCTCTCAGTGGGCAGCGGCCAAGGCGAATCAAACTCCTTCATGACCTCGGGGCTCCATGCCGAGGCCTCGTAGCCGTCGTCCCCGGTAGGGCTGGGAGACGGGAAGAGGTGTTCAAACGAGTACATGTCGGTCTTTTCGGAAGCCTTGGTGAACTGCTGTGGCGGCGACGCAGCCGAGACACTCTGGCCAGAGGCAGGCTGGGCGCCCTCAAACTGAGACGACAACTCATTGAGCCTCTTCTCGAGCTCAGCGACCCTCGACCTCTTGGGTCGCTTCTTGACCCGCGGCGGTGCAGGCGGGCGGGAAAAGCAATCTTTCTTGAGCCTGTGGCATCTGTTGTGATGCAGGAATCGAGTCAGACAAGATGAACGGTTGAACAGTTTTGGATACGCAAACAAGAGGTTGAGGAGCTACAGGTACCGCTCTCCAGCTCTCCAGCTCCGAACTGGCCGAACTCCATGTATGTGCGAGCTCAGACAAGAGCAAATGATAAGTATCATCAACTCGTAAACCAGCAAACTCATGTTGCTTACCTCTCGCACTTCTCCCCGCCATCGGCTCTGGGTATACATCTTGCCTTTGCTTTGGCACAGGTGGTGCAAGCCTTGGGCCCTTTTTGCGTCGCTTGCATCTTGACCTTGTGGACGAGAGCTGGTGATGTGCAAATTGGCAAGAGTTACTAGGAACGGGAATGATTTCGATGTTGGTTCTTGGTGTGTAAGTCGCAAGTAAAGCTGTGAGGGAGTGTGGCTGTCACCGCTGCATCCTGTCCTTGAACAAGACTCAAAGTGATGCAGCAAACAATGCAGATTTAGAAGGGCAAGGGAGGAAGTCCAAGGGGTAATAATAACTCCAGACACGGCCCCCGCATCGTCAACAAGCACATGCACGTAGAACACTCTAATTTGTGTTTGACGTCGAGGGCAAGAGGGCAAGAGGGCAAGAACCACTGGAGCAGCTTGGCCTCAGCATCCTGGGGGTCTGGATGAAGTCCCACCACGCAGAGCCGGCCCCAAGCCACCGACAAATGCGACTGTCAATGCCACGCACTTGGACAGCTTAGGATCCACGCAGGTTCCATACATCTGATGTTGCAGTCTCCATGGCATGCCATGGCTACGAGTCCAAAGCTGTCGCAGAAGTGCCAGTCTCAGAATCCAGTCGCAGAGTCCATTGTCCAACCGCACGAGCCGTCAAACGGGGAGTCAATGCGACTGGTTGGGGAAGGGGCGGACCCGGAGCGCCATAATTGCACCGCGGGTCCGTTCCACCACTGTCCACCCCTGATATTGGCCCATTCCCCGCCCGACACGTTGTTCCGCCCCGGAAATGGCACCGTCCTCGCAGCCATTGCCACTTCTCTTCATCAGCCCGATGGCTGGGCCGATGGCTCATGGCTTTTCGCCCCAGCCGAGACATCTTGATCACCATATCACCCACCCTGGCCCCCTTTCGTCAATATACAAATCAAATACTCCGTAACTCGCCGCGACCTGACTCTGTGCCTGTCGACCCCTTGGCCGCCCAAACCACAATAGCCACTTCTATTACGCCATGTCAATCCATCACCCACGCTTGGCCACTTTTTCTCCAGACTTTTCTTCACATGCCAACACTAGCACCAAAGTCTAACATGAAAATCATCCCACAGATCTAGCCTAGCTTGCTTCCCCAACTCTTCCCCATGTTACGCTGGGAAAGGGTTTCCGGGTTAGGTCTTTTGGTCATGGGTTCAATTTTGGCCCACACAATGGAGTCAATGTCACAATGTCACAGTTGGTGAAATCTTAGTGGTCTTTTTGTCAAACAGATGACCTGCATGCGGTACGAGAGCTGCCTTATGCAGGCCACGATTCAATTGGTTTGCCTAGCCTGTGATTGCTCCATCAAGCATCTCCAGGAGTCACAAAAGAAGTAATCGATTCAAAATTTGTCGGGAGAGAATGGAAAAAACAGTTTGGCATGTGAAGGTGGGCAAGCCCTCTGACATCCAAACTTGCAACGAACCCTGATGCCTAAAACAAGTTCTGTGTCATCGCGACATTATCTGAGACCACGTATTACGATTCATCGTTGAATACGCAACAATTGGTTCCTGCGCTCAGATCAGTGAGCTGCGATGCCAGTGGTGCGCGCTGCATTGCTCATCTCCCGCTCAAGCAGGGCCTCGGTGAACCCCCCTCCATTGTTGCTGTGGCCCGTGGCCATCATCTCCTTTGCTGCCTTCTCAACACCCAACTGCTTGTTTGTCCAAAGAGGCTCCTCCACCTTGCCTTGCTCACCCACCCCGATGAAGCCCCCCGTTGCGGCCCATTCTGAAGTGCGCTTGATTCCAAGGCGGCTCCAGATCTGGTCAACGGCTTCGACAAGCTCGTCCCGGTATTCCTTAGTATGACCGGGCGTGGGCGTTACGCGGAGCCGTTCCTGTCCAACAGGAACAGTGGGGTAGTTGATCGACTGTACATAGATTTGATAGTCCTGGAGCAGCATATCAGATGCTGCCTTGGCCAGCTCAGCATTACCCACCAGAATGGGAATAATGTGAGATGGATTTGGTATGACTGGGATGTCCCGATTGTTGAGCTCTTCCTTGACAGCACGCGTATGTAATTGCTGCAGCTTACGATCACCTGCGTACTCCATCTGATACTCGATGGATGTCTTGGCGCCAGCCATGGTGGCAGGTGGGAGCGAGGTGGTGAAAATGAAGCCTGGGGCAAGCGATCGAATCATGTCAACCAGCTTAGAGCTGCCGGCAATGTAGCCTCCAACGCAGCCGTAGGCTTTGCCGAGAGTGCCCGTGATGATATCAACGCGATCCATGATGGTGCCTCGGGGCGATCCCTTCTGATGGGCTTCCCAGTCGAGATGTTCAGCCACGCCGGCTCCGTGAGGCCCATACATGCCCACAGCGTGTACTTCGTCCAAAAATGTGATGGCCCCGTACTTGTCTGCCAGGTCGCAAATTTGCTCAATTGGTCCAATAGAACCACACATACTGTACACAGATTCGAAAGCAATGATTTTTGGCACGGGAAGAGGCAGGGATGCAAGCTTAGCCTCGAGGTCTGCAACATCATTGTGCTTGAACACGATCTTCTTGGTGCCTGAATGACGAATGCCCTGAATCATGGACGCGTGGTTCAGACTATCGGACAAGATGACACAATCAGGCATCTTGCTCCCAAGGGTTGCAAGAGTCGCATCATTGGCCACGTAGCAGGAGCTGAAGACCAAGGCAGACTCTTTGGCGTGAAGTTTGGCAAGGGTGCCCTCCAGTTCAACAGCGTGCCTGTTATGGCCAGAAATGTTTCGAGTACCGCCGGCACCGGCACCATACTCATCCAAAGTCTCCTTCATCTTGCTCAGCACTCGCTGATTGCGGCCCATGCCAAGGTAGTCATTGGCGCACCAAACCGTAACCCGGTCCTCCTTGTTGGCCATGTGGGCACGGGGGAAGTCCTTGGCAAGACGATTGATATTGTTGAAGTACCTGTAAGACTTGTCCTTGTGCTTCTTGTCCAGCTCGGAAGTGTAGAACGCTTCATAGTCGAACTTGCCAACCGACCCAGTGTGGCCGTGGGCCAGATAGCCTGTATAGACCGTGGGTCAGCAAATCAACTACGTCGAAATAACATAGGGACGAATCCAAGAATGAGATAAAATTTGAGCGTACCATTTTCACGCTTCTCGAGAACCGGGGTGTCAACAGCGCGGGCCTCCTGGGTGCGGCTGGTATGGATACGAGCCTTGTTAACCTTGACCTGGCCAGAGAAGGCACGAAGTCCAGCAGCGAGAGCAACACCGTTTCTGGCAGACTGGACGGCCATAGCCTTTCCCATGACGGGGCAGCGGTGAGCAAAGACCTGAAGCTTGGACATGGTGCCGCCGCATGGAGACGGCTTGGGACGAGCCGAAGTAGACAGGGCCCGAAGAGTGGCGGGCGAGGCGGCCTTGAGGAAAGGACACATGGCCTTGGACTGACGGAGAACGCTATCCATGGCGTTGAAAATCAATCTACAATGTCAGCGATTGTATTGTAGCCTTTGGACGAGATGGTTCTGCGCAGCAGCAGTGGTTTTCCAGATGGTTTCGGAGTGACGGGGGAGGATCCAGCGCAATGCGGGCAAGCCGGGGACTCTCGAGGTACCGCTCTGCAACAGTTGCAACGAGAGATTGACACCGTCGAGGGGCGTCTACGCTCAATCGCAGAGTTCTGCCAAACAGCGTGGATAGCCAATGCTTGGTGGTCAGGATGGTGAGGGTTTTTAGAAGAAGAAATTCGGGGGTTTGTCGGCAAGTGTGAAGCAAAGCGTTTTGTCACAGGGTCGACCGGTACCACCGTCTTCCGCCGTAAGAAGTCTGGGTCTGGTAAGCCGCCTCATCGGCCCAGGGCTCCACCCTGACCATGGCTTTGGCCATTCCGAGTCGTTCGACTGGCGCAATTCTCGCCTGCACCGGCCCTGCACCGATATTTTTCCATGCACTTGGGAAAGCTCCAGAATGTCGGGATTTTGTCAAATACCTTGGTTCTCATTGGCCACGCCCTGCCAGGCCTGCCCCCCCCCCCTCCCT